ATCAGGGACGCGGCTTTGAAGTTGCAGCCTGGCAGTTCCGAGGGCTCCCTCATGGGGGGGGGGGGCAATGGAGACTCAGATACCAAGATGCAAAGAACTAGAATGTGTTGTTTTTCTGTGTCATCTCTGTGTGTGTATGTGGATCTATGCATAAAATTTTTTTTTAATCATGTTTAGGACATGTATATCAGAGGTGGTGACCCTTTGAGAGCTGAATGCAACGAAATTTCATTTTAAGCTATCTTGATTAGTGTAGGTCTAATCTAAAGTGACAATAAAGTTTAAAAAAACCCTAGTGAGACCACACCTGGAATATTGCAGCCAATGTAGGTCACCATATCACAAAAAAGATGTTGAGAGTTTGGAAAAAATTCAGAGAAGAGCAATTAAGAAGATCAAAGGCTGGAGACTAAAACATACGAAGAACGCCTGCGGGACTTGGGTTTGGCTAGTCTAAAGAAAAGAAGAAATGGGAGATATGATAGCAGCGTTCCAGTATCTGAGGGGCTGCCACAAAGAAGAGGGGGTCAAAATATTCTCCAAAGCACGTGAGGGCAGGATGAGAAACAATGGTTGGAAACAATGGTTGGAAGCAAGGGATGGAAACTAATCAAGGAGAGAAGCAACCTGGAACTAAGAAGAAACTTCCTGACAGTGAGAACAATTAACCAGGGGAACAACCTGTCTCCAGAAGCTGTGAATGCTCCAACCCTGGAAGTTTTTAAGAAGAAACTGGACAGCCATTTGTCTGAAATGGTGTAGGGTTTCCTGCCTGAGCAGGGGGTTGGACTAGTTGACCTCCAAGGTCCCTTCCAACTTTACTACTATTACTGTCCAAAGAGAGAAGCAACCTGGAATTAAGGAGAAAGTTCCTGACAGTGAGGATAATCAACCAGTGGAACAGCTTGCCACCAGAAGTCGTGGGCGCTCCATCACTGGAGGTTTTTAGAAAGAGACTGGACAGTCGCTTGTCTGAGATGGTATAGGTTCTCCTGCTTGAGCATGGGGCTGGACTAGAAGACCTCCAAGGTCCCTTCTATTCTATTCTATTGTATTCTATTCTATTCTATTCTATTCTATTCTATTCCATATTTTCTATTCTATTCTATTCTATTCTATTCCATATTTTCTATTCTATTCTATTCCATATTTTGTATTCTATTCTATTCTATTCTATTCTATTCTATTCCATATTTTGTATTCTATTCTATTCTATTCCATATTTTCTATTCTATTCTATTCCATATTTTCTATTCTATTCTATTCTATTCCATATTTTCTATTCTATTCTATTCTATTCTATTCCATATTTTCTATTCTATTCTATTCTATTCCATATTTTCTGTTCCGTTCCATTCTATTCTATTCAGCTGTGCTAGCTCTCCTTGGCTCTCCCTCCAACTTCTCCCCCTAAGCTGTGGGCCACAAGGGCAGCCAAGGGGATCTGCTCCTGCCTGGATCCTCTGCGCGCCCAGCCAGATGGACTTCATGTCTGGCGAGGAGGAAAAAAAAAACTTGGAGGTTTTCTGGCGTCTCCTATGTCCCCCCCCCCCACAAAAGGCCCTGAAGACCTGATTTTGCCAGCGGGGCTGGTGAACCCAGAGTGGGATGGAGCGCCTGTAGTGGCTGATCTGAGTGTGTGTTGTCAGCGGTGTGTGTGTGCGTATTATTAATTTATTATTATTTTATTTGTTATTATTTTTTTACTTCTTCTAGCTGGTGTTTTTACTTTCAGTAAGCCACCTATAGTTGCCGTGAACAAGCAGGTGGCTATATAAACTTTCAGAAACAAACAAACAAACAAACAATAAGTAAATAAATAAATAGTAAGTAAGTAAGTTAAGGAGATAAGCAGAACCAAGGATTCTCAAGGCATTCAGGGTCACCTTGAACCTGATTATCAAATAAAGTTGATAATTGATTAATGATTATCAAATAAAGTTGACAATTTTTTCCCCTTTCCCTGTTGCATGGCTGCAGCAAAAGAGACGGGGGGGGGGTCTGTGGGGGAATTAAGGCAGAGGGAGAGGGGATTGGGGCGGTGTCAAAAGTCATCCCCCCCCTCAAAACTTGGTAGCTGACTAAGGGGTCAAATGATGGATGAATAAACAAGCCCCCCCCCCCTAGTTTTTCCACCTTCCTGTGGAGAGCGTCTTTTCCCAGCTGCGTGAAAGGAAATAAATGCCGGCCAATTTGTGTATTGGGGTGGGGGGCTTCGCCCAGAGCCGCCTCCAGGGATGTTGATTGACTCCAAGATTGGCAAACTTTTGTAGGGGGGGCGGGAAACCGGCACGTCTTCCGCCCCCTACCCATTTCTCTCCGGCTTCCCTGAATTCTTAGGGTGGACCTTCCACGCGTTTGGAGGAGGGAGGGGGTCCCGTCTTTTCCCACCCGCCCCTGGCAGGAGGGAGGGAAGGGGGGGGGCTCGCGAAGGAAAAAACGCCCCCCCCCGGAGCCAAATTGAGGATTGATGCTCGGGATCTGCTTCGCCCCGACTCACCGTGTCCGAGGAAGAGCGGGCGCCTTTGTCTCTTGCAGCAGCCTCGCTCGGCCGGCAGGTTCCGGCTGCCTTGGGCCCGGCCGGACAGCCCAGCACCTGCGGGCACAAAAGGGCAAATGCACAGGCTGCAGGGAGCACCAGCCCAGAAGCGGAAGGGAGAATTTCTTGGACCAGAATAACAGAGTTGGAAGGGATCCATGGAGGTCATCTAGTCCAACCCCCTGCACAGGCAAGAGATCCTTACAGAATCATAGAATAACAGACTTGGAAGGGACCCATGGAGGTCATCTAGTCCAACCCCCTGCTCAGGCAGGAGATCCTTACAGAATCATAGAATAATAGAGCTGGAAGGGACCCTTGGAGGTCATCTAGTCCAACCCCCTGCTCAGGCAGGAGATCCTTACAGAATCATAGAATAACAGACTTGGAAGGGACCCTTGGAGGTCATCTAGTCCAACCCCCTGCTCAGGCAGGAGATCTTTACAGAATCATAGAATAATAGAGCTGGAAGGGACCCTTGGAGGTCATCTAGTCCAACCCCCTGCTCAGGCAGGAGATCCTTACAGAATCATAGAATAACAGACTTGGAAGGGAGCCTTGGAGGTCATCTAGTCCAACCCCCTGCTCAGGCAGGAGATCCTTACAGAATCATAGAATAACAGACTTGGAAGGGAGCCTTGGAGGTCATCTAGTCCAACCCCCTGCTCAGGCAGGAGATCCTTACAGAATCATAGAATAACAGACTTGGAAGGGACCCTTGGAGGTCATCTAGTCCAACCCGCTGCTCAGGCAGGAGATCTTTACAGAATCATAGAACAACAGACTTGGAAGGGACCCATGGTGGTCATTTAGTCCAACCCCCTGCTCAGGCAAGAGATCCTTACAGAAACACAGAATAACAGACTTGGAAGGGACCCTTGGAGGTCATCTAGTTCAACCCCCTGCTCAGGCAAGAAACCCTATTTCATTTTGGACAAATGGCTGTCCAGTCTCTTCTTTTAAAAACCCCAGTGATAGGGCACCCAAAACGTCTAGAATTTAGAGGGGGTCTTGGATAGGCTGCCCCACCCCAAAAAAACCCACCTTTTCCTCCAGCAAAAAATCCATTTTTCCTTCAGAGGAGTTTCCACATCATCCTGTAGGACTTTTGACCCTGGCAGAACTGAGAAGGCTGAGTCCCTAGCACCAAGGGTGCTCCGCCAATTCTTGACCTGGCTGTTGAAATGCAGACCCCAATTTTTGCTTTCCACTTATTTATTTATAAAATGTTTCGGTCACCCGCCTTGCCACAAGGTAGCTTTGGGCGGGTTACAATCCCTTTTTCTAAAAGACTAAATAACAACATTAAAAACGCATGGCAAAGTTAAAATTTGTGCAAATTCTGAATATATTGGACTAGATGACCTACAAGGTCCCTGCCAATTCTGTTACTCTGTTCTATTCCAGCTAAGATCACAGCTGGTTAAACGGGTAAAAAATAAAAAAAGAGAGCTGTATATTTGAGAAAAGAATGGCTTAAAAAAAAAAAACTATAGCCAGAATTAAAATAGTTTGCACCTCCCAGTGTTTTCATTCTTTCAGACACCAACTTCCTTTGTGTGACTCAGGATGTCCTGAATTGCCCTCTTTTTTTTTTTTTTGTTTCCTTTCTGAAAATTTTTAAAGGCAACTAGTCCATTGGCAGAGATTAGATTAGATAACCTTTATTGTCATTTTTTCCTGTGGGCACAACGGCACACATGAAAAATGAAATTTAGTTGCTTCCTCCCAAAGTGTACACATACATAACACACATTTAAAACATACTATATACAACATATGTATAGACCTACAGGGATAGGCAACCTTGGCTCTTTTATGACTCGTGGACTTCAACTCCCAGAATTCCTGAGCCAGCATGGGGGAACTATGGCCCCCCTCATGACTCGTGGATTTCAACTCCCAGAATTCCTGAGCCAGCATGGGGGAACTATGGCCCTCTCATGGCTTGTGGACTTCAACTCCCAGAATTCCTGAGCCAGTACAGGGGAACTATGGCCCCTTCATGACTCGTGGACTTCAACTCCCAGAATTCCTGAGCCAGCATGGGGGAACTATGGCCCCTTCATGACTTACGGACTTCAACTCCCAGAATTCCTGAGCCAGCATGGGGGAACTTTGGCCCCCCTCATGACTCGTGGACTTCAACTCCCAGATTTCCTGAGCCAACATGGGGGAACTATGGCCCCCTCATGACTCGTGGACTTCAACTCCCAGAATTCCTGAGCCAGCATAGCTTAGCTTGGAAACCTCTCCCTTTCCCCTCAACATGGCTGGCTCAGGAATTCTGGGAGTTGAAGTCCACGAGTCATAAAAGAGCCAAGGTTGCCTACCCCTGACCCTACACCCTTACATATAAGTAACATATAAATATTATTTGGCATTTCTCTGTGCTGCAAAGGGGAGACCTTTTTCTGAAGCAGGACAACGGTAGAAAGTTATTTTTAACCCAGTTTATAATCTGCCTTTCTCAAAGTGCCTTGTTCGCATTAGGTGGAAAGCCAAGAGAGGCATTTATTTCAAAGCAAGTCCTGGCAGTGAGATTCCTTTAAAAGCAGGAAGAAGGCTGGGTGAAGCTGCAGATATAATAATCCCCTGCTGGGTTCATCAAAGCCCCATTTTTTTCCCCCCATCAAGTCCTAACTGCTTCCGCCAATAATCTGGAGATTAAGGAATGGAGAAATTTGTTTATTTGGATTCTTTGCTTTGTGTGGCATAATTTTTTTTTTTAAAGTTAAGTAGTCTGTTTTGATTGGAGACAGAGGGACAACAGAATCACAGAGTGGAAAGGGATCTCGGAGGTCTTCTAGTCCAACCCCCCCCCCTGCTCAAGCAGGACCATTTCAGACAGGTTGCTATCCAGTCTCTTCTTAAAAATCTCCAGGGTTGGACCCATAAATAAACCAATGGTGATCAGGAATGTGGTTGCATCTGGTGTGCACAATCACACACAATCACACACTTTTAACACCAGGGGTGTTAAAGAGAGCCCTTCCTGGGTGAATTTGGGGAGTGGAATTTGCCCACTTCTCTTCCTTAAGGCACAATCACCCCCAGAATTAATTCAGTGGAATCCCACTTAGCATCTAGGGCAGGGATAGGCAACCTCGGCTCTTTTATGACTCTTGGACTTCAACTCCCAGAATTCCTGAGTCAGCATGGGGAACTATGGCCCTTTCATGACTTGCGGACTTCAACTCCCAGAATTCCTCAGCCAGCATGGGGGAACTATGGCCCCCTCATGACTCCTGGACTTCAACTCCCAGAATCCCTGAGCCAACATGGGGGAACTATGGCCCCCTCATGACTCCTGGACTTCAACTCCCAGAATTCGTGAGCCAGCATGGGGGAACTATGGCCCTTTCATGACTTGCGGACTTCAACTCCCAGAATTCCTCAGCCAGCATGGAGGAACTATGGCCCCCTCATGACTCATGGACTTCAACTCCCAGAATTCCTGAGCCAGCTGACTCAGGAATTCTGGGAATTGAAGTCCATGAGTCATAAAAGAGCCAAGGTTGCCTACCCCTGATCTAGGGTTTACTAGCAGGATTCAAACGCACCAGATGTTGGGCTGTTGCTTTGATCTCAGAGCTTGGCTATTTGGCTGCAAATGTTTCGTCTAACACAGGGGGGCAGAACCTTGGCTCTTTTATGAGAGGGGGGTCAGACTCAATTTCATTGAGGGCCTCATCAGCATTGCAGTTCCCCTGGGGGTGTGTGGCCAGGGTGGGTGCAGTCTACTGGGTGGGCATGAATGGAGTGGGTGTGGCTTACTGGGTAGGTGTGGCCAGCTCTGCATCATTTGCATCAAGGGTGCCTGTGGGGGCCTGGGCAGGAGTGGGACAGATCTGGGGGTCTCTGGCAGAAGGGGGTGGGACCGGGGCAAGCGCCAAGGCATGGTCCACTGGAGGAGCCTCATTGTCCCTCTCAGGCCATGGGGGGGGGGGCTGGATGGTGGTGCGGGCTGCCCGGAGCCCTGGGCAGCAGAGGTCCAACGCCCAGCCTGGCCCTCGAGCACCCATGGCGCCAAGCCCAGCCCCCCAAGGGGGTGCCCAGCTGCACTTACCTCCTCAAGGCTGCTGCTGTGGTTGCTCTCCTTAGCCAGGTTGTTCATGATGGGTACCAGGGCAAAGTCAGAGGGAGACTGAATGCATTTCAGCATAGATGGCCACCACAAAATGGTACATTGGCTCCCGTCCGTCCGGCCTGGGCCAGGGCCAAGGTAGTGGGGGCCGTTCCCTCACTGTTTCCAGGATGGCTTCGCGGGCTCCATCCGGCCCCCGGGCCTTGTGTTTGATATGTCTGTTTTATGACTTGTGGACTTCAACTCCCAGAATTCCTGAACCGGCTCAGGAATTCGGGGAGTTGAAGTCCACAAGTCATAAAAGAGCCAAGGTTCCCCACCCCTAGTTTAACACCATCAAACACCCACATCTGCCTGTGCCAAAAATGCCCAAATCCGGCCTGAACATCTGTCCGACTGTGGGAGGAAACACCCTCCAGTCTACATTTCACCAGGACTGGAAGCTTGGCTAATTATCCAACCATCTCCTAAACACAATTCAAACTTCCTTCCAGTCTCTTAACCAGTGGAACTCCTTGCCTCCAGAAGTTGTGAATGCTCCAACACCCGAGGCTTTTAAGAAGAGACTGGAATGTATAGTTTTTCCTGCCTGAGCAGGGGGCTGGACTAGAAGACCTCCAAGGTCCCTTCCAGCTCTTCTGTTTTATTCTGCTCCTATTCTATTCTATTCTATTCTATTCTATTCTGATTGCATTATTCTATTTCTATTCTTATTCTATTGTATTCATTGCATTATTCTATTCTATTCTATTCTATTCTATTCTATTCTATTCTAGTCTAGTCTAGTCTAGTCTAGTCCATATTTTCTATTCTATTCTATTCTATTCCATTCTAGTCTATTCTGTTCTGTTCTGTTCTGTTCTATTCTATTCTTGCTTCCAAGAAATTGCCAGCCTGTTACCCATCAGGATAGAGCGTCTCCCCACCTTTATTCAAGGTAGACTGCTTCTGAACACAGAGGTTCCATTCGGCTCTCCCAATTATCCCATATCAGATCCTTGGGGAAGGCAGGGGGGAGGTGGGTTTACAATGGAATGAAAAAAAAAAAAGCAAAAGGAAAAAGGTTTTTTTAAAACAACTGGGAAGGGTCTCCTCCCACCACAGCCTTGTGCTGGCTCCAATGCCTCTGGGATGTTCACCTTCCTTCTTTTGTCCTCACCTGCTTTCAGATAGCCTGCCCCTGAACAAGGAGGTTCCATTCAGCTCTTGCCAATAGCCATTAAGCAGCCTCACCTACACCTCACCTGTCTCCTCTGGGACCTTGGACCCAAGTCCTGGAGCCAGAGCTGGGCGAGGTGGGGCTGGGGGGGGGCATCGTCCCGGGAGCCTGGCTTTTAAGGAGACACCGCACAGCCATTTGTCTGGAATGGTCTAGGGCAGTGTTTCCCAAACTTGACAATTTTAAGGCATGTGGTCTTCAACTCCCAGAATTCCACAGCCAGCGTTGCTGGCTGTGGAATTCTGGGAGTTGAAGTCCTCATGCCTTAAAATTGTCAAGTTTGGGAAACCCTGGTTTAGGGTCTCCTGCTCGAGCAGGGGGTTGGACTAGAAGATCTCTTGAGGTCCCTTCCCACTCTGTGAGTCTGTTAACTTCTCCCTCTGAGTAAACGTTGACTAGGACAAGATGCTGAAAGGCTCCTGGGTTTTTTGCAACCTTGGACTCTCCTCCTCTCTCAGCTGTATCTCCCATCGTCCTCAGCCATCCAAGCGTGCCGGCTGAGGAGCATGGGCGAGGCAGTCGGACCCAACTTTGCTCGGAGGGGGGAGGCCCTCCTACAATCTTCCTGCAGGGTCGGACCATCTTCTGTAGCCCCCCTTTGGGTGCCTGGGCTTTGGGGGACCCCCCCCCGGACCCCTCCATATTTCCCGAATGGGGCTGGGGGAAGCGGTCAGGGCCAAGACTTACCCAGCAGGCAGGAAAAGCAGGTCAGCCAGGCCAGGAGCTGCATGGTCCCACCTGGGAAGGTTCCTGGCTTGTGTCTGGGGTCAGTCCTGGAGATTTATACTGGGGGCCAGTTGGGGGGGGGTCCTTCAGTTCTGGAGCCGACTCAGGACATCCCAGACAGCAGGGCTGGGCGGGAGGCAGACGCCAGGCCCACTTCAAAGCCTGTCCAGGTGACGGAGGTCTGCTCCCCCCAGGGGGCGGCTGGCCTGGCCCCACCTGGAGCCTCTGTCCACCTTTCAAGTTCTGAAGAACAAAGTCAGGCTGGGGGGGACGGCAGGGGGGGGAAGTGTCTCTTTGATCACCAAAAGATAAGGAAGGAAAAGGGGGCTTATGCAAATGGGCCATAAAAGGGGTCTCCTTCCTCCCCCCACCCTCAGATCCTCTGGCAAGGGGGTCCCTCCTTCCAGGAGAGAGCAGCCCCCCCTCCAGTTCTGGAAGAGGATCCCCCTCCCTGCTTGCCCCCCAAAGGAATTTCCCCCCCCCCTTTCAATAAAACTCAGATCCGTTGGCGACTAGAAATAATAGAGGAGAATAAATATGGAAAGGTCAAAAGTGAAAATTTGTGTATAATAATGTATAATAATAATAATATGAATTATTCTTAGTAAGAAGTAGAACATGAAGGCAGAAAAATGTAAATAAGAAATAATGGGGCTATAAGGACAAATATTCTAAAGAAGAATAAGGGGGAAATGTAAATATTAGATTACCGTTACGTAATTGCTGTAAAAAAAAGGAGGAGTATATATTGTGTGTGTATGTGTGTTACGTTTTGCTTTGTTCTGTTTTGTCTTGTTGGTTAAAAAATAAAAATAAAAAAAATAAAACTCAGATCAAGCTCTTTTTCAAATGCCCTATATTTTATTTCATTATGTTATTTTTTATTTCATTATGTTATTTTTTATTTCATTATTTATTGTATTTTATGCATTTCATTTTATTATTTTATTTCATTGTTTTTCTTTTGTTTTTATGGTTTTATTTATTTTTTGTTTTTTTGTTTTTATTATTTATATTACTTTATTTTTTTATTTATTTCGTTTTATTTTCTATTACTTTATTTTATCATTTTAGGTTCGTTTTAGGATTGCCCTTTGTGCTCAACGGAGTTTCTCTTGCTTTCACTGGGGAGATGGGCATATGACGGGCGCTCAGGAGGCCTTGCCCGCTGCCCGCGTTGATGATGCAAGCACGCTGGGCATCAAAATGCCAACTAAATGGGCACAAAGTTGGGGGGGGGCAGGTCTCCTGCGGCTTTTGAGAGGTGGCCTTCTCCTCAATTTGCCCAGTAGGTATGCCAATGGGGTGGAAGAAACAGAATGGAATTTTTTTTAAAGGGAGGGGTCTTTGGTCAGCCCACCTTGAGCTTCTGCCTTTTGAATCGAATTTGGGAGTCGGATGTTTCTGCTACCATCAAGCAGTCTTTTTCAACCTGGTTGGGGAATTCTGGGAGTTGAAGTCCACCCATCTTAAAAGTGGCCCAGGTTGAAAAACACTGCCCTAGAAGAAGAGTCTGCTTTGGCCCTAACCACTAGGCCAGGGGTAGGCAACCTTGGCTCTTTTATGACTCGTGGACTTCAACTCCCAGAATTCCTGAGCCAGCCACGCTGAGGGAAAAGGGAGAGGTTTCCAAGCTGAGCCATGCTGGCTCAGGAATTCTGGGAGTTGAAGTCCACGAGTCATGAGGGGGCCAAAGTTTCCCTCATGCTGGCTTAGTAATTCTGGGAGTTGAAGTCCACAAGTCATGAGGGAGCCATAGTTCCCCCATGCTGGCTCAGGAATTCTGGGAGTTGAAGTCCACGAGTCATGAAGGGAGCCATAGTTCCCCCATGCTGGCTGAGGAATTCTGGGAGTTGAAGTCCACGAGTCATGAAGGGGCCATAGTTTCCCCCTGCTGGCTCAGGAATTCTGGGAGTTGAAGTCCGCGAGTCATGAGGGGGCCAAAGTTTCCCTCATGCTGGCTTAGTAATTCTGGGAGTTGAAGTCCACAAGTCATGAGGGAGCCATAGTTCCCCCATGCTGGCTCAGGAATTCTGGGAGTTGAAGTCCACGAGTCATGAAGGGAGCCATAATTCCCCCATGCTGGCTGAGGAATTCTGGGAGTTGAAGTCCACGAGTCATGAAGGGAGCCATAGTTCCCCCATGCTGGCTGAGGAATTCTGGGAGTTGAAGTCCACGAGTCATGAAGGGAGCCATAGTTCCCCCATGCTGGCTGAGGAATTCTGGGAGTTGAAGTCCATGAGTCATGAAGGGAGCCATAGTTCCCCCATGCTGGCTGAGGAATTCTGGGAGTTGAAGTCCATGAGTCATAAAAGAGCCAAGGTTGCCTGCCCCTGGCCTAGGCCAAACTGGTCCTCTGCCACCCTCCAGCAGGAGGCCATGCCAATAATGGGGGGGGAGAAAGCTGCCCCCCCCTTCAGGCTCCTCGTTCCTCCCCTCCCTGACTTTTACAAGGCCCCTCCTGCACCGGAGGGTCTTCCTTGGGGAGGGTTTTGAAACCAGACCCCCCCCCCGCACCTCCTCTTTCCTTTGGTGAAAATGAGGCTGCCAAAAAGGGACCAGGCAGAATAGGGTGAGGTGGCACCACCTTCTTTGGGCCAGGAGTGGCAGGCGGAGGGGAGGGGGCAGCGTCAGCAGCAGCAACGTGCCTGAAGACAGAGACCCTCCCCACCGTGTACATCAATTTACCTGCCGGCACCGAGAGTCCCAGCAAAGGCAGAGCGAAGCTGCCTGCTGGCATCCCAAGGGGAAACGCGGGGGGGGGGGTAGGGAGGAGGAAGAACATAGCAGCTGAGACCCCCACCCAAAGAAGTGTGGCTTCCTCCCAGACCCGGGCACCAGAGGGCAGAGGGATTCCCACAGATAAATGCAAAATCCAGACTACAAAACGGATATGGAAAAACATGTATGTATTAAGAGAAATTACACTGCATATGTACAAATTACACAACTGGGCCTATACAAAAGGGGTCTTTCGAGGGGTCATCCTTGGCGGGCGAAGACGGAGGCAGCATCTCAAGTCTTTCCTTCCGGGGATGCGTCTTCCAAGCGGGTCAGTCCAGCGTTCCTGTAAGCCCACCACCCCCCAAAAAAACAAAACACATTTTTGAGAATTCCATTTTTCCCCTTGGCAAAATATTTCATCTCTGCGCTTCCTTCTGCTCTCGTGTTATCCGGCTGGCCTCCTGTCCGTTTTAACTGGAGTAGCTTCCACCACTTAAATTCTTGAGGGGTTTATTCAGATTTTGACCCTCGGTGTCCAGGAACAGGACAGACAGTGTCGGAAAGGAGGAGAAGAAGCAGCAGCCAACAGTTTATGGAGCTAAGCCCAGGTAAGGGTTTCTCAAAATTGGCAACTTTTAAGACGGGTGGACTTCAATTCCCACAATTCCCCAGCCAGCAGGAATTCTGGGAGTTGCAGTCCACACCTATCTTAAAGCAAGCTGACTGGGGGATTCTGGGAGTTGCAGTCCCACCAGTGGTGAGATTCAAGTAGGTGAACAACCGGTTCCTCTGTTGGATGCCGCTTCTGGAAGTCCATTCTGGGCCTGGGCAACAAAAAATTAACTACCGGTTCTGCCGAAGTGGTGCAAACTGGCTGAATCCCACCATCTTAAAGCATGCTGGCTGGCGGATTCTGGGAACTAAAGTCCACCCATCTTATAGCATGCGGCTGGGGGATTCTAGGAATTAAAGTCCACCCATCTTATAGCATGCGGGCTGGGGGATTCTGGGAATTAAAGTCCACCCATCTTATAGCATGCGGGCTGGGGGATTCTGGGAATTAAAGTCCACTCATCTTATAGCATGCTGACTGGGGGATTCTGGGGAAGTCCACCCATCTTAAAGCAAGCTGACTGGGGGATTCTGGGAGTTGAAGTCCACCCATCTTATAGCATGCTGACTGGGGGGATTCTGGGAGTTGCAGTCCACCCATCTTAAAGCAAGCTGACTGGGGGATTCTGGGAGTTGAGGTCTGAAAAGTTGCCAAATTTGGGAAATCCTTCTTGTCCATTAGCCAGTCCTCCCCATGGCCCACCAACTGCCCAAGCACATGGCCTTTGGGGACAGCCCCCACAACCTCCATTAATCAGTCCAATCCTTTTTGGAAACCAATATATTGTTTATGCTCCTTTTTATTCCAGCTCCAAAGTATTATGATTGACAGACCCTGCGAAAGCTTTTAATAGGGCCGTTAATAAGCACCCCCACCCTGAAGGCGGTTTCTTTGGCTGATCTGGGCACCAACAAATATTTTCTTTTACGTCTGGCAGATCTACAAACAGCCTCCTTACCTTCCAGGAAGGCAAACTCATCCAGGGCTTCAATGGCGTTGTCTGCAGGAGGAAAAACCGACACCCATTTTTTAAAAAAATTAAGATGTGCTGTTGGTTGGCATGAGGTCGAATTGTTTTGACTCCAGGAAATTTAGAACAGAATAAAAAAATATAACAAAAAACTGTGTGGCAAAACAATCACAAATAAAAATTCATGGGTCAGAAAACTAAAATAAATATAGCTCGGAGCCCTAAAGCACCAAACTAAAACAAGCGAAAAGCAAGGAAAAAAATTGGACTCCTTCAGCACCGTATCCAACCTGCACATTTTACTGAAAGACACAAGCTTTTGTGAGCAGCAACTGGTGGATGGAAACGTTGCCCTCCCCCAGGGGATTTTTTTTGCCATGGCCCAGACCAGGGGTAGGCAACCTTGGCTCTTTTATGACTCTTGGACCTCAATTCCCAGAATTCCTGAGCCAGCACAGCTGGCTCAGGAATTCTGGGAGTTGAAGTCCACGAGTCATAAAAGAGCCAAGGTTACCTACCCCTGGCCCAGACCCACTCAGAGGAGAGAGCCAGGAGCCCTGCAGACCGGATAGATGACCAACCCACCAATGAAGCCCATTTCATGGGAACCAGAGAAACGTGAGAGGCTGGGAAAGGGGGGGGGGTTTATCCCTGGCCCCTTCAGAATGAAAGCTGCCCCTCCCCAAATGATAGGTGGGCTCAGCTGGCCTTGCAGTAGCCAAGCTGCATGGACCCCGTCCTTGCTGACCCCTTAACCAGCCGTGGGTCAGGGGTGGGGGAGAAGGGGGAGGACTGTGGGGTGCTTGGTGGTCTCTGAGCTTGGTGGTTTTCTGGCAGAAATATCAGTGCTAGAAGGGAGGGGTTGTGAGGAGGAGGAGGAATGGAATAGAGCTGGAAGGGGCCTTGGAGATCTTCTAGTCCAGCCCCCTGCTTAAGCAGGAGAGGAGGAGGAGGGGAGGAAGGGGGAGGACTGTGGTGTCCTTGGTGCTCTCTGAGCTTGACTGTTTCCTTGCAGACGTTTCATGACCCAACTAGGTAACATCATCAGTGCTACAAGGGAGGGGGGAGTTTGTGGAGAGGAGGAGGAGGAGAAAAATTGTAGGGTCCTTGATGCTCTCTGAGCTTGGCAGTTTCCGTGCAGACCTTTCTTGACCCGGCTAAGTAACATTATCAGTGCTAGAAGGGAGGGGGGAGTTTGTGAAGAGCAGAGAGGGAGAAGGGGGGAGGGGGCGGCTGACCCACCCAAGTCCTTCCTCTGCAGGGTCTTCCTCTTTCCGTGCTGGGTGTGGAGGAAGGCGTCCCTGGAGATGGTTTCCACAAACAGCTCCTGGGGAGGCAGAAGGGGGGGGGAAGAGACAGATCAGCCGAGAAACACTGAGCAGCTCCATTGCAGATGCCAAGGGGAGTGGTCCCTAGTGGTGGGAGGATGCTTTGATGAAGCAGGGATATTCTCAGCTTCTGAGACCACCACCACCACCACCCCCGTAGCTGGCAAAGGGCAGCCTGAGGCACTAGGGGGGGCTGACTTTGGGATCTGCCTCTTGGTCCTTCTTGGCCCAGAAAGCCTGAGCACAGCCCCCTCCTTGCAAGGTAGGCCGGGCAAAGAGGCTGCCACCAGCCAAAAGTCCTCGCTGAGCCCGAGCTGCTCTTAGCGCAGCATTTATCTCTTCCCCCCCCGGGATCTCCGAGTGGCGCCCCATCCCAGCCTCGGAGCCTCTTCGGAGTCTGCGAGGAGCGTCAGCTGCGCCCTCTGGCGGCCCGAGCGGGGGAAAAAAAAGAGAGAGCAAAACCACGCCCCTCGCGGAGGCAATCCTGTTCCTGATTGGCCCGGGGGCCGCCGCCCCGCCCACTCACCGCGGCGCGCGCCAGGACAAAGACCGCCTCCTGGCTGGCCAGGCTGACGTCCGGGTCGGCCTTCACCAGCGCCTTTACCCGGGACAGCGGCAGCCGCGCCGGACGCGAAGGCCCCGCCGACGCCGTTGCTGCCGGCGCCACCGCCGCTGCCGGCGCCTCGAGCTCCTCCGGCGTCCCGGCGCTTCCTGCCGCCGCCGCCGCCACGGGCGCCGCCATCTTGGCCACCTCGGGGCTGCTAGTGCGCCTGCGCAGCAGACGCCATCGCTTGCCAGCCACGCCCACGTCTCTTACGTCATCCCGCTGCTTTGCGGGAGGGAGGGAGGGGGAAGCGGGCGGGGCGGGAGCGGGGAAGGATTGGCGCCGCCGCGCGGCGACGCGTGTCCTGGCGGAACGTGCGAACGCGCGTTACGGGTTTAACGGCTTGCCCGGAACTCGGAAGAAGGGGAGTGGAGCGTTGCAGAAGGCAGGGAAGTTGTGGAGCAGGAGGCTCTTCCTCCTCCCAGGCACCTTCCCGCAGTGCTGCATTGCCACACGTGTCATGCCTGGATGAACCCGAGTTCGGGTCGGCAGATGCACCGAAGCACGAACTAATCCAAAAGGGCAGCTTGGTCCCCTACCTAAACCCATCCTTCTGGATTCCTGCAAGGGTAAGAGGGATAGACTTCAACTCCCAGAATTCCCCAGCCAGATGCCATGGATTGGCTGGCTGGGAATTCTGGGACTTGCAGGAATGGAGGCAGCCCCCCCCCCAAAAAATCACATCATTGCTAAATATGTCATAATTTTCCCATATAGATGGTCCTTGACGTACGACCTCAGTATTAAGCCCAAAATTTCTGTTGTTAAGTGAAACACTTGTTCATTGCCCCATTTTACGAACATTCTTGACACTGTTGTTAAGTGAATCACTGCAGGTGTTAAGTTTGTAAGACAGTCGTTAAGCGAACCCATCTTTCCCTGTTGACTTTGGTTGTTGCAAAAGGGGACCCCGTCACCCAGGGATGCTCTGCGACCGTCACAAGTACGAGTCGGTTGCCAAGCGTCTGAACTCTGATTGCGTGACCCCAGGGAGGCTGCAACGGTCGTAGGTGTGAAAAACAGTCATGAGTCAGCACCCTTGTAACTTTGAACGGTCACTAAAGGAACGGTTGTAAATTGAGGACTGCCTGTGGGGATTTGATCTCACCAGCCTCCCACAGTAATGGATCTGAGTTGAGTAGCCGTGTAAGTTCGATATATAAATCTGGCAGAAGCCACCCTCGGCAGCCAGCCCATCTGGGCAAGGACGCTAAGCGAGTTTTGTGTCTCATTTTACATCCTTTCCTGGCACAGCGATCAGGCGAATCACTGCAGTTCTTAAGTGAATCACGGGGTTGTTAAGCGAATCGGGATTCCCCATTGACTCTGCTTGTCGGAAGGTCGCAAAAGGATCACGTGACCCCGGGACACCGTGACCGTCACAAGTACAAGTCAGTTGCCAAGAGTCTGAATTTGGATCACGTGACCCCCCCCCAGGGAGGCTGCAACGGTCATTAAGTGGGAAAAACGGTCCTAAGTCACTTTTTTCAGTGCCATTTTAACTCTGAACAGTGGTCACTAAACGAACGGTTGCAAATTGAGGACTGCCCGTAATGACACATTAGAGTTTTTCAACCGCTTTTGGGGTGCCCTTCATTAGATGCCCCACACATTCACAGCTCTCCAAGTCTGTGCTGAGCCCTTCGTCCACCCAGGACCCCCCCCCCGCTTCCTCCCCAAGGTTTATGTCTTGCATAGGGGAGGGTTGAGTCCCTTCCCTGAGCGGATCTCACCCCCCCAGGTGCAACGATCCACCCCTTCCCCCCCCCACCCGCAGCATTGGCCCCAGCCTGGGAATTGGCAGTAAGGATGGATGAGCTCTGGCGCCCCTGAGCCCTGGGTCCTTCCGCCAGGGAGACATTGTGGGAGGAAGGAAGGGAGGGAGGGAGGAAGAGACGGAGGGAGGAAGGAAGGAAAGAAGAAAAAGAAAAGGAAGGAAGAGAAAGAAAGAAAGAAAGAAAGGGAGGGAGGGAGGGAGGGAGGGAGGAAAAGAAAGAAAAAAGAAAAGAGGAAGGGAGTGAGTGAGGAAAAGAAAAGAGAAAGAAAGAAAGAAAAGAGGGAGGGAGTGAGAAAAAGAAAGAAAAAAAAAGAAAGAAAAGGAAGGAAGGAAGGAAGAAAAGAAAGAAAGAAAGAGAAAAAACCCTTTGGGCTCACGAGACAACGCTCTTCCTGAGAACTCAGCGCAGTCAAGTGGAAAAAAATTGCAAACCCCTCCTATTGGGGAGCCCTTTTTCCAAGCCAGCCCAGTTCCTCTGAGCATGAACAGAGTGCTGCAGGGGGCGCTAGGGCTGCTGCCACTGGGAGTGGGTGGCTCCTGGCATCCGGCTGACCTGGCTGACCTGTAAATCCGCCAGGGGCTGGAGGAGCCCGGCCTCCCTCCCGTCTCACTGCTTCTAAACTTAGACTCGGATTAGGACAGTGACGGGGCAAGGGGCCACGAGACGCAGGTGCCCTTCGCCTGGGCTCGGAGGCAGCAGCCGGCTGACTGCTCAGCTGTGTGTCCTGCCACAGGGGCCTGGGGGGTCCCCTCCTGCTCCCCCCCCATCCAGGAGATGGGGATGGGCCCAGCCCTGGCCAGGGGGCCCTCCTGGTGCCCCCAGTGAGAGTCGGGGAGGCGGCAGCATGTGGGGGCAGCCCAAGGCGGCCCTGCCGGGCTGGCTCTTCCCCCGCCTGGGGGGGGCCTGGCAGAGGGTCCAGGCCTTCTGGAGGAAGAACGGGCTGCTGACCCTCTCCATCCTCTCCGTGGTGACCGGCTGCCTGGTGGGCTTCCTGCTCCGGTTGCTGGAGCTCTCCCATCTGGTAGGTGGGGGGGGGGCTGGGCCCTTGGGGGGAGGGAGGGAGGGGGGCAGTCTGGGGTTTGGCGAGAGGAGGAGGAGGAAGAAAGCTGTGGGGTCCCTGGTGCTCTCTGAGCTTGATCACTTTCTTGCAGGCGTTTCACGACCCAACTAGGTAACATCATCAGTTGTATAAGGGAGGGGGAGGACTGTGGGGTCCCTGGTGCTCTCTGAGCTGGGTGGTCTTCTTGCAGACATTGAACGACCCAACTAGGTGATGTCATCAGGTCTTTTGCAAGGAAACCAGCTCGCTCAGAGGGCACCCAGAGCCCCTCGCCCCTTTTAGGCCATGGGCCTCCCCCAGTGTTCAGGCGGAAGTGCCCCCCCCCTGCCTAGGTCGCCCATCCCTCTCCTGCCTCCATCCCCACTCCCTGCAGCCCCTCCCCCCATCTCCAGGCAGAGGATGCAGAGCCTCAAGGCCATCCTTGGGTGGTCTGAAACATGGGGCAGATGGTCCCAGGGTGGTCAAGGGGGCACCAGGCAGCCTCACCCCTGGGCTGGGGTGGGGGCAAGACGGCAGCACCCCACAGGACCAGGGCAGAGAATAGAATAGAATAGAATAGAATAGAATAGAATAGAATAGAATAGAATAGAATAGAATAGAATAGAATAGAATATAGAATGTAGAATATATATAGAATATAGAATACAGAATATAGAAATGAATAGAATAGAATAGAATATAGAATAGACAGATTGTAGAATAGAATAGAAAGATTAGAATAGAATAGAATAGAAAGAATAGAATAGAATAGAAAGAATAGAATAAAATAGAAAGAATAGAATAGAATAGAAAGAATAGAATAAAATAGAAAGAATAGAATAGAATAGAAAGAATAGAATAGAATAAAATAGAATAGAATAGAAAGAATAAAATAGAATAAAATAGAAAGAATAGAATAAAATAGAAAGAATAGAATAGAAAGAATAAAATAGAATAAAATAGAAAGAATAGAATAAAATAGAAAGAATAGAATAGAAAGAATAGAATAGAATAAAATAGAATAGAATAGAATAGAAAGAATAAAATAGAATAGAATAGAAAGAATAGAATAAAATAGAAAGAATAGAATAGAAAGAATAGAATAAAATAGAAAGAATAGAATAGAATATAAAGAATAGAATAGAATAGAAAGAATAGAATAGAATAGAATAGAATAGAATAGAATAGAATAGAATAGAAAGAATAAAATAGAAAGAATAGAATAGAATAGAATAGAATAGAATAGAATAGAATAGAATAGAATAGGAAGGGACCTTGGAGGTCTTCTAGTCCAGCCCCCTGCTCAAGCGGGAGAAATTTATTCTGAGTTCAGCATGCGAGTCTTTCCTCTCTTCTCCAATCGGGCAGATGGACTAACATTTTTCAGACTTGAAAAACAGACTGACCACCTCAGATCAAAGCCAGCCGGGGGATTATGGGGCCAGTTTCTCTCTCGCTCTCTCTCTCTCTCTCTCTCTCTCTCTCTCCCCCCCCCTACCTCACAGGTCTGTTGTGGTGGGGGAAATAGGAGGAAGAAAAGGAAGGAGGATTAGCTATTCATTCTTCCAGATCACGCTTGTCCCGAAGGAACTTTTATTGTAGAGGCAACCGGACTTTCTGGTTTGTCTTTAGGACATTTCGATTCTCATCCGAGAAGCTTCTTCACTTCATTGCTGGGAACTGAGGAAGCTTCTTGGATGAGAAGTGAAACGTCTTAAGAGAAAAATCAGAAAGTCCGGTTGCCTTTCAAATAAGGCATCTTTGGGACGAGGATTTGGGACGTTCCCCAGCTTGAGCGGTTTATAACAAGAATAAAGGCGGGATTAAAAGAAAAAAGAAAAATCTAAAACCAGGCCGGATTGGGGCAAAGGGGCAAGAACAGCCAGTCAGAGGCTGGCAAAATGTGATACATTTCCTGCAAGAAGGATAAATCCCCCGCCCTCTCTTTGCAGCCCTCAGCGGTTTCCCCCCTCCCTTTACGTGCACAAAATGACGGGATTTCTTAGTTTAGTATTCCATGCGGACCCAATCCCTGGTTAGTTTGTGGTTGGATGCAATGTGCTTTGTGAACTCTCTAACATGGGTGAATTCAGGCCCAGTGTGTGCACCTAGCTGGTTGGGATACATGTGTATGTGGGGGGGGGTGTCTCTGCAGTGGGGGGGGGCGCTCCCGGGCATCACCTCAAAGTCTCCAGCATTTGGAATAGCCTGGTGGGCATAGGGCCCACCCCTGATCCTAAAGAGAGAGACACTCCTGTTTAGGATCGCTTTTCCAACTGCAATCTTCTGAAAAAAATCCATGCTGCTCGGCTTAGGATTTAGGGGGGGCGGGGGGGGGAGAACCCTTCTGACTTTTTACAATGCCAAAGAGGAAAAAAAAACAACTCTGAACATAAAAGTTGGCAGGTAACCAGGAAGCGACACCCTCCATGCCCGCTGCTAAAAGAGGGGTGTGATTAAAGCAGGGGTTCTCAACCTTGGCAACTTTAAGACTTGTGGACTTCAACTCCCAGAATTCCTCAGCCAGCAAAGCTGGCTGAGGAATTCTGGGAGTTGAAGTCCACAAGTCTTAAAGTTGCCAAGGTTGAGAACCCCTGGATTAAAGGAAGTTTCTTAAGGAAATTCGGGGTGGAGGGCTCTCGAGGGAGGGGTGGCCTGGGCAGCTCCCCCAACGCCAGAGAACCGGTGGCCGGGATGGGACACCAGCCCCCCACCCCTGCGTGGGCGCTTGGAAATGCACTTGAGAAGAGATATTTTCCCGTCTTTTCCAAAGTTGCTGAAAAAGTTTGGGGCTTCAGCTGCTTCTTGCTCCCTGCGGACCCCTCCCCTGACAGCCTCACCTGTTTACTTTCCACCTGCAGGAGAAGCAGTACTTTGCCTTCCCCGGAGAACTCCTGATGAGGATGTTGAAGATGCTAATTTTGCCGCTCATCACCTCCAGGTGAGTCCCGCCCCTCCTCCCCTCGGGGCAGGGCAGGTGTGGGGGGCAGGTGGATCGGAGACGCTCCTGGAGGGTTGGTGTCGCCCGGCCGGCTGGCGGGAATAATTGCTGCTTGGCGTGGAAGAACGAGCCAACTCTGCTTGGCAGCTGGGACCACAGGTCACGCAAGGGCCCCCCCCTCCCTTGGGAAGCAAAACTTTTGAATTGCAGGGCTGTGAAGTTCCTCCTGGCACAGCCGGTTTTGTTTTGCTCGGCAGCTGCAACCTGGGGGGGGGGGGAGACAGAAAGTAAACTTGGTCAGACTTTGATCTGAGGCCGGGCATCTGGAGGGCACAGGCCAAACTCTTGAAGGCCAAGGCTGCTGGCCTAAGTCTGTTTGTGACCCCTGATCTCTTGGAGGGTGGGAGGTTGGTGACCCCAACTTAGGGGGGGGAGCTGGCAGCCTTAGTCCAGTGCAGCCTTTCTCAAGCTTGTCCACTATAAGACGAGAGGACTTCACCTGGCTTCAAATAGACTTCTAGAAAACTTCAACTAAGCTCTACATAGACTTCAATTAAGCTCAACTAACATTTTCATAGACTTCTAGACTTCAGTTAAGTTCAGTTAAGTTTTACATAGACGTCAACTAACTTCAACTACTACATAGACTTCTAGACTTCAATTAAGTTCAACTAACTTCTACATAGACTTCTAGACTTCAACTAACTTCTACATAGACTTCAACTAACTTCAGCTAATCTCTATATAGACTTCTAGACTCCAATTAAGTTCAACTAACTTCTACATAGACTTCAACTAACCTCTACATAGACTTCTAGACTCCAATTAAGTTCAACTAACTTCTATATAGACTTCAACTAACCTCTACATAGATTTCTAGACTCCAATTAAGTTCAACTACTTCTACATAGACTTCAACTAACTTCAACTAACCTCTACATAGACTTCTAGACTCCAGTTCATAGACTCCAACTAACTTCAACTAACCTCTAAATAGATTTCTAGACTTCAATTAAGTTCAACTAACTTTCACATAGACTTTAACTCACTTCAACTAACTTCTACATAGACTTCTAGAAAACTTCAACTAACTTCCACACAGACTTTAACTAACCAACTAACTTCTACATATTTTACACTTCAACTAATTTCTACATATTCTAGACTTCAACTAACTTCTACATAGATTTCTAGAAAACCCCAACTAACTTCTACATGGACTTCAACTAACTTCAACTAACCTACATAGACTTCAACTAACTTCAACTAACTTCTACATAGACTTCTAGAAAACATTTTCAGCTAACGTCTACATGGACTTCAACTACCTTCAACTAGTGGTAACTTCTACATAGACTTTTAGAAAACTTCAACTATTTTCATCACAGACTTCAACTAACTTCAGCTAACTTTTACATAGACTTTAGATTTCAACTAACTTCAACTAACTTCTACATAGCTGGTTGAGGAATTCTGGGAGTTGAAGTCCGCTCGTCTTAAAGTAGCCAAGCTTGAAAACCACTGCTCTAATTCAGCCTTTGTTGTTATTTTCCAAGTTCAAAGTTTCTTCTTTTTATTTTCCCATGCCAAAATCGTGGGAATTTCTGCCTCTGTGGCGACTCGCTGCCCAATCCGCCTGTCCGGATTGAGGGCTGCCCCATCCTTACGAGAAGCCGATGGATCCTTTCCTCCAGCTCAGTGGCCAGGCATTCTCCGCCCGTCACCCGTGGGGCCACTGAGTTAGGACTCTGCTGGGGCGTTCTTTGTCTCTCCCCCTCCTCCCAACCCAAGCCAGTTTTCCCCAAATACGATGCGAGGAAAGAAGCCTGCAGAGACCACTCCAGTCTTATCCTGCCATGCCCAACCTTTGGAAACTGACCGGACCATGCCCAGACCTTTCTGATTCGGAGACACACCAGGGCAGCTGGAGGTCGTAGAGCCGGGAGGCTGAAATGGACCAGCTGCAATAAAACACACCCCACTTATTTGGGTTCGCACAACCCAGAACAAACCACCGAAGCTCCTTAAGGCCTGGGTTGGTGCCCTCCTGTTCTGCCACCTTGGTGCCCCGCATCCAGGCCCTTCCTGCCTTCGCCTATAACGCGTGAAGACAACCCAAGCATTTTTAAAAGATTTTTTTTTAAAAAAAATCCTGCTTTATTATTTTTATAAATAAGTGAAGGCGACAAACATACCTTCTGCTCCTTCCTTTTCCTATTTTCCCTACCAAAACCAACCCTGCGAGGTGGGTTGGACTGAGAAAGAGGGACTAGCCCAGCATCACCCAGCCGGCTGACACGCCTAAGGCGGGACTAGAACTCCCTGTCTCCTGGTGATTGGCTGAAAGTCACCCAGCTTGCTGTCATGCCTAAGGCGGGTACTAGAACTCCCCGTCTCCTGATGATTGGCTGAAAGTCACCCAGCTTGCTGTCATCCCAAAGGCGGGACTAGAACTCTCTGTCTCCTGATGATTGGCTGAAAGTCACCTAGCTGGCTTTCATGTCTAAGGCAGGACTAGAACTCCCCGTCTCCTGGTGATTGGCTGAAAGTCACCCAGCCGGCTGTCATGCCTAAGGCGGGACTAGAACTCCCTGTCTCCTGGTGATTGGCTGAAAGTCACCAGCCGGCTGTCATGCCTTAGGCGGGACTAGAACTCCCCATCTCCTGGTGATTGGCTGAAAGTCACCAGCCGGCTGTCATGCCTAAGGCGGGACTAGAACTCCCCATCTCCTGACGATTGGTCCAAAGTCACCCAGGCAGCTTTTTTGTGTAAGCAGGATCAGAACTCCCAGTCTCCTGGTTTCTAGCCTGGCGCCTTCTCCACTAGACCAAACTGGCTCTCTTTTGGCCTCCATCCCCACCCCAATTTGCCTCCAAGTTGCGCAATCTCCTGGGTGCAGAGCTGCCCCCTTCCCTTCGGCTCCTGGCAGGAGGGGGGGTCCTGTTCCCTCGGCGGGTCTCCCGTCTACGTGTCCATCAGGCTTGACCCCGTGCAGCTTCTTGAGGTCAGCCCAGGCCTGCCACCTGGCCTGTGGGTCCATGTGCAGGTCCTCTGAGCAGGAGGTTCCCTCCCCCCCCCCCCCGCTTACCGTCTTCCAATTAGCCACCCGGCCTGTTTTCCCCTAACGAGATCAGCCTCATTTCTGGAGATTAGTTCCAGCGGACGAAGGCGGATGACCTGAAATGACCGGGATCCGGTCTCACCCATCCAAGCTTCAAAAAAAGGGGGGGAGGGGTTCTCTCACAGGGAGACACGGGGACCCCCCCCCCGGGCTTTCTCTACGCAAGGGGATCCAGCCTGGAGCTTTTGTCTGTTTGTTTTGATTCATTTACTCCAGTCGTCTTGCCCCTCCCCCCCTTGAGACCCTTCCTGTGTCCCCTGTTCAGCACAGGGGCAGAATTGAGGTTTTTGCAGAATCACAGGGCTGGAAGGGACCCTGGAGGTCTTCTAGTCCATCCCTCAGCTCGGGCAGGAGACCCTGTGCCATTCCAGACAAACGGCGGTCCAGTCTCTTCTTAAAAACCAGAGATGCCCCCGGGGGGGGGGAGATGGAGGCAGGGGGTCTGCCAGACACGACCCAAAAAAAATCAAGAGTTGGATTGCATCACTGTGGCCACCATCTTGCCTGTTTTAACCTCGCCCTGCTTACCACTGAGACTTTACTGTTCTTAATAATAATAATAATAGTAGTAGTAGTAAAGTTGGAAGGGACCTTGGAGGTCATCTAGTCCAACCCCCTGCTCAGGCAGGAAACCCTACACCATTTCGGACAGATGGCTGTCCAGTCTCTTCTTAAAAACTTCCAGTGTTGGAGCATTCACCGCTTCTGGAGGCAGGTGGTTCCACTGGTTAATTGTTCTCACTGTCAGGAAGTTTCTCCTTAGTTCTAGGTTGCTTCTCTCCGTGATCAGTTTCCATCTGTTGCTTCTTGTCTTGCCTTCTGGCGCCTTGGAAAATAGTTTGACTGCCTCTTTTTTGGGGCAGCCCCTGAGATACTGAAACTTCCAGTGTTGGAGCGTTCACAACTTCTAGAGGCAGGTTGTTCCACTGATTAATTGTCCTCAGTGTCAGGAAGTTTCTCCTTAGTTCCAGGTTGCTTCTCTCCTTGATTAGTTTCCACCCGTTGCTTCTTGTCCTGCCTTGAGGCGCTTTGGAGAACAGCTTGACTGCTCTTCTTTGGGGCAGCCCCTGAGATACTGGAATGCTGCTATCCTGTCCCCCCTCGTCCTTCTCTTCATTAAACTAGACACACCCAATTCCAGCAACCGTTCCTTATATGTTTTAGCCTCCAGTCCCCTAATCATCTTGGTTGCTCTTCTCTGTACTCTTTCTAGAGTCTCAACCTCTTTTTTTACATCGTGGTGACCAAAACTTTCTTAGCACATAGAGGGGGGCCTCTCCCCCAGCCCAGCTGGCCTTGCTTCCACCCGCCCCCCATGCCAGTCTCTGCCCGTCTGTCTCTGCCCCCCCTGCAGCTTGATGTCCGGCTTGGCCACCATGGATTCCCGGGTCTGTGGCAAGATGGGCCTGCTGACCATCACCTACTACCTTTGGACCACCTTCATGGCCGTCAGCACCGGCATCGTGCTGGTCCTCAGCATCCACCCCGGAGCGGCTGCCCAGAAGGAGGAGCACTCGGTGGGCAAAATGGTGCTCAGCTCGGCCGACGCTCTGCTGGACCTCATCAGGTAACCGCCCCCGGCCGGCCCTTCCTCGGCCCTGGGCGGTGGCGGGTTCAAGGCAGCGCTTCTTCAGCTTTGGACGGGGGTCACCTGGCAGCGCCCCAGGGGCATCGTGGAGGGAGGGCAGCGGCCCCGGGTGAGGCTGCGGTTTGACCCGGTGGCTCCTGGCCGAAGGATTTATCCATGGTTCTCGGCTACGGGGGCTGGCAGGTGCAGAGGCCGGAGGCTGGAGACCGGTGGCCGAAGAGAAGGTGTCCTCCCTTATGGAACGGCTCCAGCCGGTTGGGCATAATCCAGAGGCCTGCTCAAAAAATTATGTAGAAAGTCATAATTTTCCCTTGCTGGGGGCCGAGATAAAGAACAGAAGGGAAAGAAAGAAAGAAAGAAAGAAAGAAAGAAAGAAAGAAAGAAAGAAAGAAAGAAAGAAAGAAAGAAAGAAAGAAAGAAAGAAAGAAGAAAGAAAGGGAAGGGAAGGGAAAGGAAAGGAAGGAAGGAAGGAAGAAAGGAAGGAAGGAAGGAAGGAAGGAAGGAAGGAAGGAAGGAAGGAAGGAAGGAAGAAAGAAAGAAAGAAAGAAAGAGGAGGAAGGAAGGAAAAGAAAGGGAGAAAGGGAGGGAGGGAGAGACAGAAAAAAGAAAGAAGAGGGAGGAAGGAAGGAAGGAAGGAAGGAAGGAAGGAAGGAAGGAAGGAGGGAGGGAGGGAGAGAGGGAAGGAAGGAAGGAAGGAAGGGTGAAAGGTTAACAGTGGTAAGGGTCTTCTACTGGGGTCCCCCACTTTTAGAGAAGTGAGTGTCTGATCTCTTGAAAGGGTTGAGAAGCCAGGCTGAGCCTCTCACGGCTGGGCGGGGGGCAAATGGGGTCTTCTTCAGAGGGATCTTCAGTTGGGGCTCAGATTTGCTTTAACCTCAAAGCAGGGGGCTCTGTGTTGAGGCTCACCCCCGTCCCCCCCCCCTTGAAAGAAAGAGCCTGGCCCAATTGTCCCACGGCGGTGAGGAGATTCAGGCAATTCAACTGAGTATAAAGCTTTATTGCAAGCTGCAGCTCGCTACAAGAATCTGATCTACTAACGGTCGAGGGAAATGGGCCCTCAAGCGTCTGTGGAGATTCTCAGACCTGCAGGTCAGGGTTGCCCCAAAGATGCTTTTTCAGGAGGCAGCTGGGCTTCTTTGAAGAGGTTTCGCTTCTCACCCAAGAAGCTTCTTCAGCTCTGACTGGATGGTGGGGAAGGGAAGGATTTATACTCCTTGCAGACAGCTGGTCATTTGCATTTTTTTAAGAGAGTGGTTGAGGCCACCCGGAGGTTTTGTCTGTGTCCTCAGAGGTGCTTTTTTCCCATGAGGCAACTGGACTTTCTTTGTTTTTCTTTGAAGACGTTTCGCTTCTCATCCCAGAAGCTTCTTCAGTTCTGAGTGGATGGTGGGAAATGGAAGGATTTTTTTTTGTATTATATTTTTTATTAATTTTTTACACAAGCATAAGTCACTCAATAATTGGTGAACAGTGTGTTGTCTGGGTTACATTTGCAAAAACACTCCTTAACAATTGATTTCTATAGTCTGTATTCCATATATTAATTTTGCTTGATTTCCTCTTTCCCCGAAACATCCTTTTTTTGCAAACATTGAGTTAATACAATTCTTATTGTTTTAATAAATGACAATTTAGTCTATATTTTTTCCAATGTTCCTAAAAAATAATCGTCATATTAATAACATTTCTTGGGAAATGGAAGGATTTACAGTCCTTGCAGACCGCTGGTCATTTGCCTCCTTTTAGAGAGCTGTTGAGGCCACCTGGAGTGTTTTTTATGTCCTCACCTGAATAGTGCAAATGGGTGTGTGAAGAGACACAGAGCAGAATACATCCTGGAACCAAGAAAGCTCCACTCCCATTTGCACCACTCAGCTGACCCTGAGGATACAGAGATAAACCTCCAAGCAGCCTCAATGACTCTCTAGAGCAGCGGTTCTCAACCTGTGGGTCGGGACCCCATTTGGGGTCGAACGACCATTTCACGGGGTTGCCAAACAATGCAGTCAGCCATTTTTCCCCCCTTTTCCTCAGCTGTGCTCCTCCCTTTTATTCTATTGGCTTTTGAAAGCCAATAGAATAGACTCTCTTGAATAGAGTCTAATTCTATTGGCTTTCAAAAGCCAATAGGAATTGTCCAGGCTGTCTCTGCCCTGCTGAGCCGCCAAAAGTCCCATTCTGCAAACGGTGCTGCACCAGTTGAGTAGTCCTCGACTTACGACCGGTTGAGTAGTCCTCGACTTATGACCGGTTGGGTGTCGCGGCATTAAAAAGGTTGAGAACCACTGCTCCAAAAGGAAGCAAATGACCAGCTGTCTGCAAGGAGTGTCAATCCTTCCCTTCCCCACCATTCGGTCAGAGCCGAAGAAGCTTCTGGAATGAGAAGCGAAACGTCTTCAAAGAAAAACAAGAAAGTCCAAAAAAACCTTTGGGAAAAGGCATTCAAGGTGGGCTAGAAGTAGAACTCTTGTGGGCATGAAGAGACTCAAGACTAATGGCATGTTTGACACACACACACACACACACACACACACACACACCCGTCCTCGGGCTCAGCCTGGCCACCTGCTACACCCACTCCTCTCTGTCTTGCTTCCTGCAGAAATATGTTTCCTTCCAACCTGGTGGAGGCTTCCTTCCAGCAGGTGAGCTCCCGGCCCAGGCCGGCCTCTTTTCGCTCTGGGGTCTCAATGGCTGTTCCCTGGGATTTGGGGAGGGGGCTTTTTGAGGGGGGGGGAAAGGATATTGCGACTTGACCCACCCCCACCCCCACTCACCCGTGGAATTTGTACAGCCGCTTTGGGCTTGTTCGAGCTTCCCGCCACAATGAGAGTCAGACCACACCCGGGGGGGGGAGCCAATCGCCTATAGGGTCCTGGATCGAGAGGGGGCCCTCAGAGGTCATCGAGTCCACCTCCCATCTCAGTGCAGGAATCCGACCTCTTTCTGGCAGGTGCCTCTGGCGGGTATGTTTGATATGATACGTTTAAACCAGGGGTAGGTAACCTTGGCTCTGATGACGCGTGGACTTCAACTCCCAGAATTCCTGAGTCACCATGGGGGAACTATGGCCCCCTCATGACTCGTGGACTTCAACTTCCAGAATTCCTGAGCCAGCATGGCTCAGCTTGGAAACTCCATTTCTCCTCAGAAACGCTGGCTGAGGAATTCTGGGAGTTGAAGTCCACTTGTCATAAAAGAACCCAGGTTGCCTACCCCTGATGGTCTGTCTGTCTGTCTGTCTGTCTGTCTGTCTGTCTATCTATCTATCTATCTATCTATCATCTAGCCCAGGGGTAGACAACCTTGGCTCTTTTATGACTGGTGGACTTCAACTCCCAGAATTCCTGAGCCAGCCTGGCTCAGCTTGGAAACCTCTCCCTTTCCCCTCAGCATGGCTGGCCCAGGAATTCTGGGAGTTGAAGTCCACCAGTCATAAAAGAGCCAAGGCTGCCTACTCCTGTTCTAGGGGATTCTGGGAGTTGAAGTCCACGAGTCATGAGAGGGCCATAGTTCCCCCATGCTGGCTCAGGAATTGTGGGAGTTGAAGTCCACGAGTCATGAAGGGGCCATAGTTTCCCCATGCTGGCTGAGGAATTCTGGGAGTTGAAGTCCCCGAGTCATAAAAGAGCCAAGGTTGCCTACCCCTGGTTTAAACCTATGAGGGGAGCCTGCCAACCCCTCCCTCCTCCCCCTCTCTCTTCTTCATCAGCAGCCCCAGTGAAGGGCTGGTGCCAGAATCGGTGTGGAGAGCGAGGGAGGAAGAGGGTGGCCTGGACCCCTTTGCAGCCCCCCCCCCGATGCCTTTACTCCTAACGCTGCAAGCCTAAAAGAGGATGTCCAGCCCAAAAGGCCTGCCAATCTCCCCGCTTGCTTCACTTCCAGTACCGGACTGTCATGGTCCCCGTGGTGAAATCCCCCGGGATCCCGAATAAGGCCAGCACGTCCTTCAGCTTCATTTACTTGGTGCCCGATCCGGGGAACCCAGAGATCCAGCGTCCGGTCCTGCTGGAGATCACGCCCTCGCCGGAAATGATCTACCAAGCCCTTCCTGGCAGCAACAACGAAATGAACGTCTTGGGCATCGTCCTCTTCTCGGCCACGGTCGGTACGTGGTCACTGCTGGGGGGGGGCAGGGCAGGCCCCCCCGACTCTGGGGTCCCTGGGGGCGGGAATGGGGGATGCCCCTTTTCTGCCCCCCTCCCCCAAAGAAGCACCATGAAAACTCCAGGCCAGAGTTGCCAGTTGATCCAAACGATCCTCAATCCATCGGAATAGATTGGGAAGGGACCTTGGAGGTCATCTAGTCCCACCCCTGCTCAACCAGGAGTCCCCAACACCCGTGGACCGGTACCGAGCCGCAGCATGCCAGCAACACAAACAAGCAAAGTCCCATCCACGGGATGCAGGCAACACACAAAAGCACACGGCCTCCGGTCCGCGGAAAAACTTATCTCCATGGAACCCCTCCCTGGTATCCAAAAGGTTGGGGACCTCTGCCCTAGACCACTCCGGACAAATGACCGTCCAGTGTCTTCTTTAAAACCTCCAGTAATGGAGCACCCACAATTTCTGGTTGCAGGCTGTTCCACTGGTTAATTGTCCTCACTGTCAGGAAGTTTCTCCTGAATTCCAGGTTGCTTCTCTCCTTGATTGGTTTCCGTCCATCATTTCCTGTCCTGCCTTCAGGTGCTTTGGAGAATAGGTTGAACCCTTCCCCCCTTCTTCTTTGGGGCAGCCCCTCAAATATTGGAACTCTGCTATCATGTCCCCCCCTAGTCTTTCTTTTCTCTGGACTGGCCATTCCCGAATCCTGTAGCCATTTTTTGTATATTTTTGCCTCCAGGCCTTTAATCATCTTAGTTGCTCTTCTCTGCACTTTTTCTAGACTCTCAACATCTTTTTTTTTTTTAATATTGGGGTGAACAGAACTGGAGGCAGGTATTCCAAGTGTGGCCTTACCAAGGGGTTATAAAGCGGTATCAACACGTCACGTGACCTTGATTCTCTCCCCCTGTTAATGCAGCCGAGGGTTGTGTCTTAATCCTGAATGCAGGAAACACCCTGAGGATCCCTGGAACCAAGACTTGCCTACATTGGTCAATCCATAAGAAAAGATGCCAGCACAGGACAGAAAAACAGAGTTGGAAGGGACCTTGGAGGTCTTCTAGTCTGACCCCCTGTCTCCTCCGAGCCTGGAGGTCACATCCTAGAACAGTGTTTCCCAAACTTGACAATTTTAAGGCATGTGGACTTCAACTCCCAGAATTCCACAGCCAGCGTTGCTGGCTGTGGAATTCTGGGAGTTGAAGTCCTCATGCCTTAAAATTGTCAAGTTTGGGAAACACTGTCCTAGAACAGTGATGGCAATCCTTTTAGAGACCAAAAACTGGCCCTGCCTCCGCTCCATCCCCTGCCCTGCCCCTGCCACGCCCCCACCCCGTCCCCCACCCCGCCTGCCTGCAGGGCCACTCACCACCTCCAGGGCCCGCCACAAATTGCCCAGGCAGCCCAGCAGCGCCATGGTGGCCACGCCTTCTTCCCGCGCCCCACAGCATCAACTGTGCGGGGTGTGGCGTGAGGGCAGAGTCTTGTCTACACTGCCTGGCTGCCATGTCCTTGGCTGCGCTGCTCCGCGTGGGCCACTCTCGGGGGCGACTCTCCTCCAGGGGGGCTGCTGGTGAGGAGGGGGTCGTGGGGGAGGCGAGGCTGGGGCAACAGCACGGGTGCCCACAGAGAGGGGTCCGAGTGCCTCCTCTGGCACGCGTGCCATAGGTTCACCACCACTGTCCTAGAAGCTGTGCTGGTGGGGATTATGGGTGCTGAGGTGCAACGTTCCTTGAGGCCAGAGGGTTTGGCAGGAAGGTTGAGGCAGATGTCCCTAAGGGAGGCCGTTTTCAGGTCACGGCAAAATCGTGTGCCTTGCGTGGGTGGCTCTTAAGGACGGAGGCAAGGGTCCTTTGCGTGGTGTTCGTCTCTGCAAGACTGGTGGCTTTTTCGTGGGTGGGACGGTGGAAGGGAATTGCCTTTTCTTCCTTCCGGCCCGGTTTCCCTCTTCTCTGTTGAGCAACAGCTGGGGGATCCTCCTGGTGGTCCCCCCTCCGTAATGAGAACCTGACCCTGCTTCTCCTTCCAGGCCTCCTCCTGGGGAAGATGGGGGAGCGTGGGGCCCCCCTGGTTAACGTGTGCCAGTGCCTGAACGAGGCTGTGATGAAGATCGTGGCCATGGCGACGTGGTAAGCCCAAGCCCCCCAGGCCGAGCGGCGTTTGCCCCCTGCCCTCAAACTGGCAGCCAGCTTGAGAGTCCACCCTGCCGGCCTTTCCAGGCTCCCCAGCCCCCCTGGTCACGATAGGGAGTGTCAGCCACAGACCTGAAAGTGGGGAGAAGGCCTGGGGGAGCCCCTTTGATCGGGGGCTACGAGGTCAGCCTGCGGAAGCCGTCCACTCCTTCTGCAGCGTCAGTCCTTGTTAGAGCTGGTGCCCAGGTGTAAATGCTGGCGCACCTGCCAGGAAGGCTGGCACACTGAGGTGGTGAGTGGAAGTAAAACAGCGGACATATCCCTGGGGTCAATGGTTTTGCCCGGAGAAATTCCCGGGGAGTTCTCGTTCCCACCCTCTCTTCCGATGCCCGGCTGTGCAACCTTCAGGGCAGGAAGAGATATCATCTTACCTCTCAGAAGATCCAGAAAAGGAAGAGGGGGAGGAGAGGGACAGAAGGAGAGGGAGGAGGAGGAGGGGGAGAAGAGAGAGGAGAGGGACAGGAGGAGGAGGAGAGGGAGGTGGAGGAGAGGGACAGGAGAGGGAGGAGAAGATGAGGGGGAGGGAGAGGGAGGAGGAGGAGGAGAGGGACAGGAGGAGAGGGAGGAGAGAGACAAGAGAGAAGGAGGAGAAGAAGGAGAGGGGAGGAGAGGAAGGTGGAGGAGAGGGACAGGAGGAGGAAGAGGGACAGGAGAGGGAGGAGAAGATGAGAGGGGAGGAGAGGGAGAGGGACAGAAGGAGAGGGAGGAGAGGGACAGGAGGAGAAGGATAGGGGAGGAGAGGGAGGAGGAGAAGAGGGACAGGAGAGGGAGGAGAAGATGAGGGAATGAGAGGGAGGAGGAGAAGGAGAGCGACAGGAGGAGAGGGAGGAGAGAGACAAGAGGAGAAGGAAAAGGGAGGAGAGGGAGGTGGAGGAGAGGGACAGGAGAAGGAGAAGATGAGGGGGAAGGAGAGGAAGGAGGAGAAGGAGAGCGACAGGAGGAGAGGGAGGAGAGAGACAAGAGGAGAAGGAGGGGAGGAGAGGGAGGAGGAGAGGGAGAGGGACAGGAGGAGAGGGAGGAGAGGGACAGGAGAAGGAGAGGGGAGGAGAGGGAGAGGGACAGGAGGAGAAGGAGAGGGGAAGAGAGGGGAAGAGATGGAGGAGGAGAGGGACAGGAAAGGGAGGAGAAGATGAGGGAGGAGAGGGACAGGAGGAGGAGAGGGAGAGGGACAGGAGTAGAAGGAGAGGGGAAGAGAGGGGAAGAGATGGAGGAGGAGAGGGACAGGAAAGGGAGGAGAAGATGAGGGAGGAGAGGGACAGGAGGAGGAGAGCGAAGGGAAGGGAAGGGAAGGGAAGGGAAGGGAAGGAGGAGGTTTTCATGGCTGTTAGTCAGGGGTGCTGGTGGGGCCAAGGAGCCCACGGGGCTCTGAACAGTCAGGAGGAATGTACCAGGGTGGGGGCAAATCATTTGCAGAACCTCCTGAGACCATTTGGGGGATCAGCCTTGTCCTTGGGGTCCCAGCTTGGCCACCGTGGAGGAGGAGGAGAAGCAGAAGCTGCTCTGAGATCCTTTGGCCACCAGATCATCCGGTGTCCTGGGCCTCAGGGGATCAGCCCACTTTCTCCCTCCTGGGACACCTGCCTGCCTGCCTCCCAACCCAGCCCCTCTGCCTCTGACCTCCCCCTGGGGATCCAGCCTCCCCTCCCACCCATCCCACTTGGGGCAGATCAGAGGGGCTCCCCCTCCTGACAGGCCCCCCGCCCTGGGCCGATTCCGCTGCCTCCCCATGCAGGTACTTCCCTTTTGGGATCGTCTTCTTGATCGCCGGGAAGATCCTGGAGATGGAAAACCCGGCGCTGACTGGCAAGAAACTGGGCCTCTACGCCATGACGGTGGTGACCGGGCTGGCCATCCATGCCCTTTTCTTCCTGCCCCTCCTGTTCCTCATCTTGACCCGGAAAAACCCCTTCCCCTTCATCCGGGGAATCCTCCAAGCCCTGCTCATCGCCCTGGCCACTTCCTCCAGGTACGAAGCCCGGCAGGGGCAGCCAGCCGGGGGGGGGGGTCGAACGGGCTACGAGGGTGCCTCTGGTGTCCTCTGCTTCCCACAGGGCACGGCGGGCACAAGGCTGCCTGCTTGAAGGAGCCACCGGCCCAGGAAGCATCCGACATCTCCAAGGGCAGCAAATGGAGAGATCTGGCGTGATGCTTGTTCATCGCTCTGTCAGTCATTCAGTGAAGCTCCCCTGTCCAGAGGCAGTTTACCTGCCAAAGCCAGATCCCGAGGGCAAATGAAGGGAGACCCACCAAGCTCTTGTCCGAGGGCAGCGGTTCTGGGAGTATCTCCATAACACATCAAGATGAGGAGGAAGCTGGCTGGGTGCCGTTGGTCTCCTCCAGGGAAGCTCCCTGTACAGTCGTTGGAAGGGACCTTGGAGGTGTTCTAGTCCAACCCCGTGATCAAGCAAGAGACCCTCTACCCAGTTTTCCCAAATGGTTGTCCAGTCCTTCTTAAAAGCCTCCAATGTTGGAGCACCCACAAATTCTGGAGGCAACTTCCGTTCCACTGATTACTTGTTCTCACTGTCAGGAAGTTTCTCCTTCATTCCAGGTTGCTTCTCTCCTTGATTGGTTTCCATCCGTTGCTTCTTGCTGTACCTGCAGGTGCTTTGGAGGATAGGTTGACCCACCCCTCTTCTTTGGGGCAGCCCCTCAAACATTGGAATCCCGCTATCATGTCACCCTAGTCCTTCTTTTCATTAAGCTAGACATTGGTCCTTCCAACCCCTTGAAGCTCTTGCAGAGGAGTTTCAAGCGGGGGTGAGGGGGGTGTGTGTGTGTGTGGGAGGGTAACTTTTGGCTTTCCACTTCATGCCAGGGGACCTCCCCACAGTTTGTTCCCGCATCTTCAAGGCATGTGAACATCCTAGGACGCATCAGGATTTGGTATCTTGAGGATGGAGGGTGGATACACACAGAGATTTTCTGAGCCGCCTTGTGTTGATGACACTGCCTCTTCTCCTCCCTGGTTGTTTCTGTTGTGCGCCTCCCCCCCCTACCCACTCTCTCAGTGCTGGGGGAGTGGGCTTCCTCTAATAAGCAGCCCCCCCTCTTTCCCAGCTCAGCCACGCTGCCCATCACCCTGCGGTGTCTTCTGGAGAACAACCGGATCGACAAACGGATCGTCCGCTTCATCCTCCCGGTCGGAGCCACGATCAACATGGACGGGACGGCGCTCTACGAGGCAGTGGCCGCCATCTTCATCGCCCAGGTGAACGAGTACGACCTCGACCTGGGACAGCTCATCACTATCAGGTAAGGATTGGAGTCTCCTCCGCCCAGTAGCCAGCTCGACCCTTTGGCGGTTCAGCCGCCGCCGCCATGTTTAGCTGCGGTCAGTCATTGTGGCCGTGTCCGAACCAGGGTCCTCCAGCTTCACTTAAAGGGGCTAGGTGAAGAAGATTGGCTGGCCAGGTTCCCACTGCATGTTGGACATTGTGAGCTAAAGTGGAGAGGGGATCTCTCAGGAACAACAACCAGAACAACTCCGAGAACGGAAAATGTCTTTATTGTTGATCGCCTCTATTACAAGAATCTCTCCAGATTGCCCACCTTTCCTTGGGAAACAGCGGATGCAGCCCTAAGGATTGGGTCTCAAATGTTTCCTCTTCCTCCTCTTCCGAACGGGCGCCAAGCTGGGGTGTCTTTCTACTCCCACTATCAGAACCATGTTACCAACTTAACAACTGCGGTGATTCTGCTGCAATGCCACCTTCAGCCATTTGTACCCCATCCGCAAACACCGCTGACGGCCACTGTGTCTGGTTACCCAGGCTTAGTTCAGATAATGTGATTTGATGTAAATCGGGGTCCCCATAGATACTGTTTAGGGGTGAAGATGCTGGCAGGCTTAACTGGGAGAAGAAGAGAGAAGACCCCTTCCCCCCCAGGGCTAACCAGAAACATAGCGGGGGGGTCTTTGGGGTGATGGTGTGGCTTGGCTGACTGCCTAGGCCAGGGGTCTTCAGCGTGTCTGGCTGAGGAATTCTGGGAGTTGAAGTCCACAAGTCATCAAAGGGCCAAGTTTGAAGACCCCTGGCCTAAGAGAAGGCTTTCCTTGGCTGGGCTTTGAGGCAGGGGTCCGAGCAGGGGTGCTGGGGGGCTGCCCCTGGCACGGCTGCCCTCTGCTTTCTCTCCACCCCCCACAGCATCACTGCCACGGCCGCCAGCATCGGGGCTGCCGGGATCCCCCAGTCAGGCCTGGTCACCATGGTCATCGTGCTCACCTCCGTCGGCCTCCCCACTGAGGACATCACACTGATCATCGCCATTGACTGGGCCCTGTGAGTCTCCCCCCCTCCCCTTCCGGTTGCTCATCTCGGACAGACCCCCCTGGGTGGAAGGACAAGGGATGTGCGCGCTCTCTGAGCCGGGCGTCGGCTCACAGGCGTTTCGTGACCCAACTAGGTAACGTCATCAGTGTAAATGGATAGGAGAGCCCACACTGGGGATGTCCAGCAGTTGTTGGGCGATGAAACGTCTGCAAGTAAAAGAACCAAGAATGTTCTCTTTTTTTCTTCTTTCTTTCTTTCTTTCTTTCTTTCTTTCTTTCTTTCTTTCTTTCTTTCTTCTTTCTCTTTCTCTCTTTCTTCTTTCTCTTTCTTCTCTCTTCTTTCTTTCTACTCTTCTTCCTTTCTTCCTTCCTTTCCTCCTTTCTCCTTTCTTATTCCTCTTTCTTTTCTTTCTTCTTTCTTTCTTCCTTTCTTTTTTCTTTTTCTTTCTTTCTTTCTTTCTTTCTTTCTTTCTATTTCTTTCTTTTCTCCTTTTTTCCCTTTCTTCTTTTTCTTCCTTCCCTCGTTCCTTTCTTTGTTTCTTTTTTCTTTTTCTTTCTTTCTTCCCTTCCTTCTCTCTTCTTTCTTTCTTTCTTTCTTTCTTGCTATTTCTTTCTTTTCTCCTTTTTTCCCTTTCTTCTTTTTCTTCCTTCCCTCTTTCCTTCGTTCTTTTCTTTGTTTCTTTTTTCTTTTTCTTACTTTCTTTCGTCTCTTCCTTCCTTCTCTTCTTTCTTTCTTTCTCTATTTCTTTCTTTCTTTTTCTCCTTTTTCTCTTCTTTTTCTTCCTTCCTTCCTTCCTTCCTTCGTTCGTTCCTTCCTTCCTGTTTTCTTTCTTTCCCCCCATTCTGCATTTATTTATCTACTTACTTACGTATTTATTTATTTATTGAGTGTATTTGCTGCCCATCTCCTAACAAAAGACTCTGGGTGGCTTCCAGCATGTGCGTCCAAGGTGTCCACAAGCTATGGTTTAAAAAAACACAAGAGGGCAGCCATGAGCGTGTGAATGAAGCTCTGGCTGGTTTTTCTGGGCCATCTTGATTGATTGATTTTTTTTCTGGACCATCCCTCTGAGCTCAGCTGATGCCCAGCCTGGCAGGAACCAGCATTGGAGCCTCTGGGAGAACATCCCGAGAGGATGTGGGAACTCCAGATGTTCCCTCAAGGAGTCCTTGTGTGAAAGGGACCCTTTGGGATCAGTTCTCTGCCTGCTGGGATCCCCTGCGAGGGAGGGATCCCCCACTGACGTCTCTGCACTTCCCTCCCCAGGGACCGCTTGCGCACCATGACCAACGTCCTGGGTGACGCGCTGGCCGCGGGAATCATAGCTCACATCTTCCGGAAGGAGTTCGCCCCGAAGGTAACCCCAAAAACGCACGAGAGCAGAAGCTCCCGGAACCCTGAGGGAGGCTGCTGGTTTCCATTCACATTCTCCTTTCTCTCCCCCTCCAAAGGATTCTGTGAACGAGGGGCTGGTCTGGGCCGAGACTGCCTCTCCTCCTCCTCAGGACCCCGTGGGGCAGGCGATGGAGGAGGCCCCGCCTGGACAGAACGGTCACTGCATCTGTGAGGTGTGAAGGCCGCAGTTTCCGCCATCACCACCCCCCGCGACAACATCCAGGGGGCCGGTGCCATGGACTCTCCGGGACCCCCACGCAGGAGCCCCGAAAAGGAAGAGCGAGGAAAGACACCCACCCACCCATCCCTGGCTCCACTCAGCCTGATCCTCTCTGGAAATCCCTTTCCAGGGGTTCTCAACCTTGGCAACTTTAAGACTTGTGGTCTTCAACTCCCAGAATTCCTCAGCCAGCAAAGCTGGCTGAGGAATTCTGGGAATTGAAGTCCACAAGTCTTAAAGTTGCCAAGGTTGAGAACCCCTGCTTTAGGGGAAGCCAAGATCAGGGGCCACCAGACAATGGGGAGGGATTCAAATAGGTGAACAACCGGTTCTCTGTGTGCACGCCCTTTCTGGAAGTCCGTTCTGGGCCTGGGCAGTGCGAACCGGCTGAATCCCACCGCTGCCACCAGAAGAAGCTTCTCTGAGGTTGCCGGGACTTTCTGAAAATTGAATATTGCATTTGGACTGCTGCCGGCTCCCTTTTTAATTTTTTTTATTTTAAAAAAAGCAAAACTTTTTATCTTTGTATTTATCCCAGAGGCGCCTTCTAACAGGCCAACTAAGTTTCTGGTTCTAAAAGCTAGAAGTATCTTTTCTGAGCAGGGGAGGAGGTGACTCAAAAGAGGACGTATCTTTGCCAGCAGGCCGGGACCCTTTGGGGGGGTCCAGACACGCCAGAAATCGTGGGCGCTCCATCACTGGAGATTTTTAAGAAGAGACTAGAGACAACCACCTGTCTGAGAGGGTATAGGTTCTCCTGCTTGAGCAGGGGGCTGGACTAGAAGACCTCCAAGGTCCCTTCCAGCTCTATTCCATTCTATTCTATTCCATTCCATATTTTCTATTCTGTTCTGTTCTATTCTATTCTATTCCATTCCATTCCATTTCATTCTTTCTATTCTATTCTACAATCTGTCTATTCTATATTCTATTCTATTCTATTCATTTCTATATTCTATATTCTAATTCTATTCTATTCTGTTCCTGTTCTGTTCTGTTCTGTTCTATTCTATTCTATTCTATTCTATTCCATTCCATTCCATTCCAATTCCAATTCCAATTCTATTCTATTCTATTCTATTCTATTCTATTCTATTCTATTCTATTCTATTCTATTCTCATTCCTATTTCTATTCCTGTTTCTATTCTGTTTCTATTTCTATTCTATTCTCATTTGATGAACGCCAACCCCCCCCCCCATTCTTTCCTCATTTGAGCAGCATCCCTGTGCAACATTCCTCTGCGCTATCAGCTACTGGTTCCCACCTGTGCAGGTGAAGCCCAAGCCCCAAGAAGGACTTGAAGAGACCCCCAGTCCTATAATCCAGGGAAGGCCTTGCTCAATTCCGGAGGGTCTTCGCTCCGCCAGAAGCCGTCCAAGGGTCCGGAGATCTCAAAGTGAACCAGTTCAACTCTCATTTCCAATATTTTGAGTGGCCGAAGACTTTTTCCGTGCTGGCTTCCAGAAACGATGCTGGAGGAGCTAATGATTTGGCCCCTCAAATTCACACGTTTGTGAGACCAGAGCAGTGTTTCCCAAACTTGACAATTTTAAGGCATGTGGACTTCAACTCCCAGAATTCCACAGCCAGCATTGCTGGCTGTGGAATTCTGGGAGTTGAAGTCCACATGTCTTAAAATTGTCAAGTTTGGGAAACACTGGACTAGAGTCACGGTTTTGAGGGAGAACTTCAGAGAGAGCTGTCTTCCCACACTTTCTCCTTGGGAAAAAAACGGTTGGATGGAAACATCTACAAAACGTCTACAAAAAACCTTTATCTGGGCCCGTGAAGGACCTTGGGTTTGCCTCCAGCTCTGTTTATTCATGTAAGAAAATCTATATGGTCACCCAACTCACTCTCGGGGACTTACGAAGAGAGTTTAATCTGGATCTTCAGAGTCTCTATTTTCTCTTAGTAATGAAATTGTTCCTAGAAGGTGTCTGTTTAAAAACAAATAACCCCACACCTGAAAATGTAAATAACTAGATGAGCAATATTCATAAAATAATTTTTGTACACTTTTTTTTCTGAGTCATTTTATATTGGTATAAAAAGAAAGGCAAAGTTTTCCCCTGTCCAGCCATGTCCGAATTTAAGAGGGTGATGCTCCTCTCCGTTTCTTAGCCGCGGGAGCCCGCGTTGTCTGAAGACACCCACAAAAAAGCCTTAGTAAGGACACACCTGGAATGCTGCATCCAGTGTTGGTCACCAAGTTACAAAAAAGACGTTGAGTCTAGTGGTCCTTGACGTGTAGGGTGCTGGGAAGAGTAGTACTCTTCCTCCTGTTTTTTAAGACATATAAGAAACAGCAGGGGGAGTTCATCTGGTACTTTGGGGTGCAATATCTTGAGTTTATATATCTCTCCCCCCCTCATCACAACTAAGCTACGCAGGAGACACCATCCAAGTCCGTACCTGGTCCTCAAAGGCTGGAAGGTCCAGATTGGGGAGAATAGATGAAAGTGGGATCGAAGTAAAGAGCAAGCTTCTGTTGGTATATCGGGGTTCTCTCTCCACATCCTGTCACCTTCCCAGGTAGACCAGACAGGATACACGACCAGATGTGCTAAATCTGCTTTATTCTAGGTCTTCGCTAAGAGGATCTTGCAAGTCTGAAAGTACAAAACTCACACCATCTCTTTTTACAGCCTGATAAGTCAGGGACGATCCCTCCGGAGTTTCTTTCTATGCCTGTTGTACAGCTGGGGGGGAGGGCTACCCCTTCTCTTATCTAATGGTCCCACAGGCAGCATCAGTCCCACCCCCCTCCCTCAAGGTCTTTCCCACACACCATGACATCACCCTCCCTTCAGACTCACCCTCCCCTCCCCAGGTTCCCAGGGGAAAGAGGTTGTGGGCTGTGAGAACAAAATGGTAAGGGTCGCCCCCACCTCTTCGCCTGGTATCCCCCCAAGATAACACCAGGTGTCTCCTCAATCATCTTTTCCAGTTCAAGTGACAGCTGCCTCTCCATCGGGAATCTCTTTCAGGGGGTTGGACTAGAAAACCTCCGAAGTGCTTCCAACTCTGTTATTCCGTTATTATTCTGACTCAAATCTAAAGTGCCTTCTTTTAAATCCAGTCAGACAGTTAACTCAAAAGAAACGATCTTATAATAAACAAAATATATTTTAATGAGAAAGATTACTTGCATTCACGCTGTGGTTGATACATACGTTCCAGAATAGTTATAATTCTTTTATTCTGATTTGCTTAGTCGCCGACTGCTAAAATCCAAGCGTAGTTCCTTGGAATTTCTTGCAGAAATCTGAAATGTTGTAGAAAACCACAGCAAGTCAGCAAATTGGGCAATTGTTGACCACACGCTGTGTTGACTTGCAAGTTCTGCCTTTTGTTGACACCAGCACTTTTATGGGTATGACTCTCCTATCGCTCAGTAAAATCAGGATCCCCGATTCTTTGCTTCTCTCCTGAAGCCAGAGATCTCTTGACTGCTCTAATTTGCATGGGATCTCCCGGGTTGGATCCCACGGAGACCCCCTAGGATGGCATCATCCAGTTCCTCAAATGCTCTGGAGAATAGGTCAACCAGTAAAGGAAAATATTTGTAGCTGAAATGGGTGGGGGGGTCCCTGGTGCTCTCTGAGCCAGGTTGCTTTTTGGGGAGACCTTTCATGACCCGAACTAGGAAACATCATCAGTGCTAGTAAAGAGAGGGGCTTTGTCTATGTAACCCATCCCTTACTAGCACTGATGACGTTACCTAGTTTGGGTCATGAAACGTCTGCAAGAAAACAAGCTCAGAGAGCACCAGGGACCCCACAGTTCTCCTTCTCCCCCTCCCCCTCCTCCTCCCCCCTCCTCCTCCCCCTCCCCCTCCCCCCCTCCTCCTCCTCCTCCTCCACCTCCCCTCCTCTCCACAATCCCCATTTCCTTACTAGCACTGATGACGTTACCTACTTTGGGTCATGAAACGTCTGCAAGAAAACAATCAGGCTGAGAGCAACAGGGACCCCACAGTTCTCCTCCTCCTCCTCCTCCTCCTCCTCCTCCCCCCCTCCTCCTCCTCCCTCTCCCCCTCCCCCCCTCCTCCTCCCCTCCTCCCCTCCTCCTCCTCTCTGCAATCCCCATTTCCTTACTAGCACTGATGAGGTTACCTACTTTGGGTCATGAAACGTCTGCAAGAAAACAATCAGGCTGAGAGCAACAGGGACCCCACAGTTCTCCTCCTCCTCCTCCTCCTCCTCCTCCTCCCCCCCTCCTCCTCCTCCCTCTCCCCCTCCCCCCCTCCTCCTCCCCTCCTCCCCTCCTCCTCCTCTCTGCAATCCCCATTTCCTTACTAGCACTGATGAGGTTACCTACTTTGGGTCATGAAACGTCTGCAAGAAAACAATCAGGCTGAGAGCAACAGGGACCCTCAGAATACGTTGACCCCCTCTTCCTTGTGGCAGCCCCTCAAATACTGGGACACTGTTATCATGCCCCCCCCCCCTGGTCCTTCTCTTCACTGGACTAGCCCTGCCCAGTTCCTGCAACCGTTCTTCATATGCTTTAGCCTCCAGTCCCCTGATCCTCTTTGTTGCTCTTCTCTGTACTCTTTGTAGAGTTTCAACAACTTTTTTACATCGCGGTGACCAAAACTGGATGCAGGATTCCAAGTGTGGCTTTACCAAGGCCTTATAAAGTGGTATTAATCCTTCACATGATCTTGATTTTGTCCCTCTGTTAATGCAGCCCAGAACTGTGTTGACTTTTGTGGCAGCTGAAGCACAAGCTGGCTCACATTTAAGGGATTGTCCACTAGGACTCCGAGATCCCTCTCACAGTTGCTACTATTGAGCAAGGAACCACCTCTACTATAACTGTGCATGTGATTTTTCTTGCCTAAGTGTAAAACCTTACTTTTCTCACCACAGAATTTCATTTTACTAGCTAGGGCCCATTGTTCAAATCCTTTGGGATCCTGAGCTGGTCTTTTGGAGCATTGGCTACTCCTGCCAGCCTGGTGTCGTCTGCAGATTTGATGAGTTCCCCATCTATCCCCTCCTCTAAGTCATTTATGGAGAAGCTATGGAGATGGCATCAGTCTTGCAAGTCTCTCCCGAGAGAAGAATCTCAAGAAGGGACTCCAACGGGCCACTGAGCATCTGGGGCAAGTGGACAGACACAAGACCGATTTGCAGAATTGC